TCGTTTATTTGTTTCATCTTTGAACTTACATGAACAGAGTAGAGATAAAAGGATGAATTTTTACCTTTAAGATTATTTACCAATCAAAGACTTTATTAAAAAAAAAAACTGCTTAATAAAAAAGATATCTTTTTATATCTATTTCCAAAATCTCACGCATAGGATACAACCTTAGTATCTTTATAGTTTAGTGTCTTTTTCTTTTTACATTCAACATCGAAAATCAAAGGAACCCGTGTCACTCTTTTATTTTTGGAAACAATTAATGATAAGATTTAATTAATTTTACAGATAATTCAATCTTTATGACCATAAAAGGAATGGCCTGACTTGACCTAGTACCATTTTTTCTTCATAGAGCTACAGGAGAATTATCAGCTGATAGCAACAGGAACAAGAAAAAGAAAAAGGAAGAAATGTGCAATGATAAATATGATGATTATGATTATGGTGATAGTAGTAGCTTCGTAATAGTAGCAGTTGTTGTAATAGTAATAATAACAACGATCACAATAATAGTGATAATGATTATGACAATAGTAATGATAACAGTAATATCAAGGATGATGATAATGACAATGATATAAAAAAATGATATTGATAAATCTGATAATGATAATAATAATGGTGATGATCATGGTGAGGATGAGGATGATGAAGATAATAATGATGATAATAACAATTAGAACAATAATGATAACAAGGATAATCATAATAGAAAATCATAACAATGATAATGATAATGATAACATAAATGATTTATTGATTGATATTGTATAACAATAACAATAATAATGATAATGATAATCATAAGTATAATTAACATAATGAAGATAATAATGATGATAGTGATAATAATGATAATAATGATGATACTGATAATAATGATAATAATGATGATACTGATAATAATAATAATAATGATGATACTGATAATAATGATAATGATATTGATAATAATAAGGATAATATCAAGAACAATAACAACAATAACAATAAGGATAACAATAATAATTTTACTAATGATGATAATGATAATGATGATTATGATAATAATAGTAATAATAATACAATTAATGATAATAACAATGACAATGATAAACCCTACTACTACTACTAATGATAATGATAGTAATAGTAATAATAATGATAATGATAATGATAATAGTAATAGTAATAGTAATAGTAATAATGATATGATAATAATGATAATAATAATAATGATAATAATGATAATAATAGCAACATAAAATAATAATAATGAAAACAGTAACGATGATAATAGTGAGGATGAAAATAATAAAAATGATAATGATAATGCGACCAATATTAATCACAATGATAATGAAAAAAAAAAAAAAAATCACTGCCTTTATTTTGGTTCCTTCATTTTCTTACTGAAGCTGGACACCTTTCTTTTATTTCTTATCAACACCAGATATGTTCAATTTGAATAATAATTTCAACATATTCTGTAGCACTATATTGTCCCCTGTCGTGCTCCCTTGTGCACTTATTTTTAAACACGAAAGAAAGTCATCCATAAACCTCAGGGAAAGAGTTTTATGTATATATAATATATATATATATATATATATATATATATATATATATATATATATATATATATATATTTTTTTTTTTTTTTTTTTTTTTTTTTTTTTTTTTTTTTTTTTTTTTTTTTTTTTTATTTCTTTATTCATCAGTTTATCTATTTCTTTATTCATCAATTTATCTATTTCTTTATTTATCAATTTATCATTGTATAAGATTTAAGAATTTTTTATCGACACATAAGGCAGAACCCGGAATGTTTCTCATACAAGTATTCGAAAGGAAGGGAAGGAGGAGGAGGAGGAGGGAGGAGGGGGAGGGGGAGGAGGAGAGGGGGAGGAGGGGAGGAGGAGGGAGGAGGAGGAGGAGGGGGTGTAGGAGGAGGAGGAAGAGGAGGAGGAGGAGAAGGAGGAGGAAGGATAGAGGATGAGGGAGCAATGGGGAGTTGGAGCAGAGGGGAGGAGGAAGAGGAGAAGGAGGAGGGGGATGGAGGAGGAGGAGAAAAGAACACCAGGAAACGCCGCTTTCTTTCAATAACCGAACATGCTCCTCTCAAACCAGAATTCTCTATCCACACGCAACCAGACTCTGATCCTCCCTCACAACCAGGCTCCCTCACAACGAACTGACCTCACAACCAACATCCCCCAACAACCACTCTTTCTCACAAGAACTCTTTCTACACAACCACCCTCTCTCACAAGCCAACGCCCGCACCTCCACTTTCTCTCATACCCCCACACCCTCACCATCAAACTCCCTCACAATCAACCACACTCATAACCAACCTCCCTCACAACCACCATCCTCACAACCACCCTCCCTCACAAACACACCTCCACCTTCTCTCACACCTCCACACCCTCAACCTCCCTCACAACCTCATGTTTCCTCACGCTCCTCCTACGACCAGCCCGGGCCCAAGTTGCACCACGTCTCCCTGTAAATAGATCACCCTCTCATGAACGTGTCCAGGCGGTGGGGAGGTGGGGGTGGAGGTGGAAGAGGTGGGGGTCATGGGGAGGAGGGGGACGGTGGGTAGGTGGGGCGAGGTGAGGGAGGTGGGGGAGGGAGGGGGGTGGGGGGCGAGGTGGGGGAGGGAGGGGAGAGGTGGAGAGGGAGGTGAGGTGGGGAGGTGGGGGAGGGGTAGGAGGTGGGGGGCGAGGTGGGGGAGGAAGGGGAGGGTAGGGAGGTGGGGTGCGAGGAGGAAGGGGAGGGGGTAGGGAGGTGGGGGGCGAGGGTGGGGGAGGAGTGGAAGTGGGGGAGGGAGGGGATGAGGTGGGGAGAAAGAAGTAAAGGAGAAGGATGGGGAAGGAGAAAGGATAAGTGGACGGAGGGATCGAGAAGGAGGGAGGGAAGTGGGGGAGGGGAGGGCAGGGAGATGGGGAAGGGTAGGGAGAAGGAAGGAGAGAAGGAGGGGAAGGACGGAAGACGAGGAGAATGGGGATAGGGAGAAAGAAGATGAGGATGGAGAAATGAAGAAGAGAAGAATGAGGAGAAGAGGAAGAAGGAGCAGATAGAGATGGTGAGGAGGTTGGGAAGAGGGGATAAGGAGTGAGAGTAAAAGAATGGAGAAGGAGAAGAAGGAAGAGGAGAAGGATGGGGAGAAAGGGAGGGAGGAAGAGGAGGAGTCGGTAAGAAGATGGAGAAGAGGGAGGAAGTAGAAAGGAGTGGAAAAAAGGAGGAAGAGGAAAAGGAAAGGAAGAGGAAAAGAAGAAGAAGAAGAAGAAGAAAAAGAGGAAGAGTAGGAGGAGGAGGAAGAGTAAGAGGCAGAGGAAAAAGAAGAGGAAGCGGAGGAGGAAAAAGGGGAGGAACAGGAAGAGTAATGATGGATAATAATAATAATAATAATAATATAATAATATAATAATAATAATAATAATAATAATATTAATAATAAGAGCAGGAGAAGGGGAACGAGGAAGAGGAGATAGAAGGTGAGCCTGAAAGATGGAAGGTGGAAGAGGAGAAACAGAAGGAGGATTTGGATAGATAATAGAAGAGGAGGATGTAGAAAGAGGAGACAAAGGGAAAAAAACGAACGAAAAAAGACAGATACAGAAGAAATGATCAGAGGGAGAAAAACAACAGATAAAGCAACCAAAACATATAGAAGAAGAAGAAGAAAGAAACAAACATAAATTAATTATATATCTATATACATAGATGCAAGAAGAAGAAGAAGAAAAAGAAGAAGAAGAAGAAGAAGAAAAACATAATTAATCATATCTATATACTTAGATGCAGAAGAAGAAGAAGAAGAAGAGAAGAAAAGAATAAGATTAAGAATAAGAATAAGAATAAGAATAAGAATAAGAATAAGAATAAGAATAAGAATAAGAATAATAAGAAGAAGCTTAATCAAAGGAATAGGAAGTAGGAGACAAGAAGGAAGACTCGAGACCCACCAAGCGCTTCGGAGACCTCACTGCGTTCAATCTTTTGTGCCTTTGCAAGCGGAACGCGTCGGCCGCCCTGCTTAGTCCGCCGTTGCAGCGCAGGAGGGCGGCCTCTCTCGCTCTCTCTCTTTCTTTCTCTCTCTGTCCTCTTTCTCTCTTTCTTTCTTTCTTCGCTCTTTCTTCTTTCTCTCGCTCTCTCTTTCTTTCTCTTCTCTCTCTCTCGCTCTGTCTCTCTCTCGCTCTCTCTCTCTCTCTCTCTCTCTTTCTTTCTCTATCTCTCTCTGTCGCTCTGTCTCTCGCTCTCTCTCTCTCTCTTTCTTTCTCTCTCTGTCGCTATGTCTCTCTCTCTCTCTCTCTCTCTCTCTCTCTCTCTCTCTCTCTCTCTCTCTCTCCTCTCTCTCGCTCTCTGCTCGCTCTTCTCTTCCCCACTTGCTCCTCTTCTCTTTCTCTCTCGCTCTTTCTTGCTTTTTTCTCTCTTTCATTTCCTCATTCTCGTTTCTTTCCGTACCTTTGTTTCTCCTTCCCTCCCACCTTCTCTCTCTCATTCCATCCTTTTCCTTCCCTCCTCCTCCCTCCTTTTACTCACCCTCTCCCACCCACCCACCCACCTCCCCTTCCTCCTTCCCTCCTTCTCTCCCACTTTCCCTCCTTCCCTCCTTCTCCCTCCCTCATTTCCTTCCCTCCCATCCTCCCCCTCCCTCCCTCCTTTCCTTCCTTCTCTCCCACCCACCTTCCCTCCTTCTCCTTCTCTCCTCCCACTTTCCCTCCTTCTTCCCACCTTCCCACCTTCTCCCTCCTTCTTTTCCTCCCACCCTTCCCTCCTTCCCCCTCCTTCCCTATCTCCCCCACGAGCAAGGCAGATTAGGTCGGCGTCGCCCTGAGTGAATGGCAGATCAGGCCAATTAAATTCAGTTGGATCGTAAATTGGGACAGTTAATTCCTTGGAGGGAGTCGGGGTGGGTCGGCGCGCCCACTCGCCCGGACGAAGCGCTGGCTCGGTGGGCGGCCGGAATACGGGAGTGCCTTTGTGCGCGCGCGGACGTACCT